TGTTGGTATGGGGGTGATCAGGGTGTTGGTATGGGGGGTATGGCGGTGATCAGGACGCTGGTATGGTGTATGGGGTTTTTTAGTACGCACCATATACCATTATTCTAACGATCGTGACCCGGGACTCCCGATTCCTGGTCACGATTGCTGAGATAGCCTCTGACTGGCTATCACAGTGATCAGTCACTGTACAGTCGGCCCCCCTTGTTTTTTTTTCTCTCTCTATATGAATGGAGGAGAGAGATACATTGTATCTCTCTAACTCCTGGCATAGAGACAAAAAATATTTGTAAAAAAAAAAGAAAAGATAAAGAAATAAATATTAAAAAATAAAAGAAAAAATAAAGAAAAAATGACTAGATCAAGGTTTGATCTATTTCAGTGCCAGGGTAAGTGTTTGGGTCAAGGTCTGGGTCAAAGGTCAAAGGTCAGGATTTAAAAAAAATGGTATCAGTGTCAGTGTGTTTTAGGTTAAAAAAAAAAAGACAAAAAATGCGCACTATTGTTTTTGGGCTGTACTACGGTTACAAACAACAAATAACATACACATATATGGTATCTCTGCAATCGTCAAGAGCTGGAGAATTTATTTTGGGTTGTTCTTTGGTGGTAGGTTATGGTAGTAATAAGAAACACACAGCTAAATAAAAAAAAATGGGTTTTTTTTTACTAATTTGGGACAGTTTTCCTTTGATAATAAAAAGGAAATCAGGAGATATCAATTATCATTTACCACCCAATGAAAGCCCAATTTGTCCTGAAAACAACGCGGTATAATCCACTTGGATGTACAAAGTAGTAGTGATGATCTGTACAGTTTTACTAACACGTGTCAACATTGCAAAATTTTGCTTAGGCATTTAGATTTGTTTTTACCCTTCGGCGTGGGGTTAAAGCGGAGTTCCGCTCATCCTGTCAAAAAAATAAAAGTCAGCAGCTACAAAAACTGTAGCTGTTGACTTTTAAAAAACAGCCACTTACCTGTCCCTCGGTCCCATGGTGTGTCCCCCGCAGCCCGTTTCACTGGCAGTCCTGTATTCCAGGAGGCCGGCATCTTCAGTTTGGCACCCGGCTGTGACAGCTTGCGGCTTCACAGCCAGGTGCCCACTGCGCATGCGCAAGTAGCGCTGCGCTTCCTGAATGGGCCTGTAGTCTACTGGGACCTGTCACGTGTCCCAAAAGACTACAGGGAGGTAGGGAGGACACCTTCCGTTTTCTATCACCTAGGCGATCGGACTGGAAGTGGGAGCGGGTACCTGTCAAACTTGGGTACCCGCTCCCCCAAAGGTGCCGATCCTTGATGGGAGTGGGGGAGCAGTCCTTAAAGCGGAACTTCCCCTTTTGGGTGGAGCTTTGCTTTAAGTTGACATCAGGGTTCTATTAGACCCCTGATGTCCCCTTTGCCCTCCACTGCAGCTAATCAAGCACTGATTGAGCTTGATTAGCTGCTTTACCAGCCACAGTAGATGGGGAATGACAGCTCTGAAACTGGAAGTGTACAAAATGCTTGCAGGGGTGATCGGGGACAGAGGAAAGGTGGGAGCCTGGGAACCACTGTCAGCAGTGGTGGGGAAAGGAGGAGGGGGGTGTCTATTCACAGTATTGTAAAAGTAATGACTGTAGAGTCACCTGGATCCCTTTTACTAAAAAGCCAGGAGCTGGTTAAAAAGAATGGTACCAAGCTGGTACGGCCTGTAGACATCATGGAGAGTCATGTTTGATTTGCCCGTGTTGTGTTTGGCCATTACAACGTATGGTAACAAACACTTGGTAACACAATGGTAAGGTGCAAATAGACCCTGAAAGATTCAAAAAATATATAAAAAAGGAAAAAGAACTGGGTGAGTTATTTACTGGCAGACCGTCAAGGTAGGCTAGGTTCACATCATGGGCGCAGCAGCCCATTCATTTGAAGATAAAGCAGTCCCAGAACCGCACTACATGGATTTGCACGGTGCTAAAAAGCAGCGCATTATGCCCGCGGGTCAGGAACGCATGTATTTTTGCGGTCATGCCTGAACCTGGCCTTAGAAATGAGAATGCAGGAGAAGGACAGGTGAATTTGGGTGGCACAGTGGCTAAGTGGTTAGCGCATCTGCCTCACAGTACTAGGGTTGCCGGTTCAAATCCAACCATGGCACCACCTGCCTGGAGTTTGCATGTTCTCCCTGTGCCTGTGTGGGTTTCCTCCAGTTTCCTCCCACACTCCAAAGACATGCTGGTAGGTTAATTGGCTCCTGTCTAAATTGTCCCTAGTATGTGTATGTATGAATGTGAGTTAGGGACCTTAGATTGTACACCCCTTGAGGGTTAGGGACTGATGTGAATGTACAATATATACCGTATTTGCTGGCGTATAAGACGACCCCCTACTTTTCCTGCTAAAATGTAGTGTTTGGGCTATACTCGCCGTATAAGACTACCCCTCTTCCAATGCACACCAGTGGGAGGAATAGTGCCCCATCATTGGTATCAGTGGGAGGAATAGTGCCCCATCATTGGTATCAGTGGGAGGAATAGTGCCCCATTATTGGTGTCAGTGGGAGGAATAGTGCCCCATCATTGGTATCAGTGGGAGGAATAGTGTCCCATCATTGGTATCAGTGGGGGGAATAGTGCCCCATCATTGGTATCAGTGGGAGGAATAGTGCCCCATCATTGGCATTAGTGGCAGGAATAGTGCCCCATCATTGGTGTCAGTGGGGGGAATAGTGCCCCATCATTGGTATCAGTGGGGGGAATAGTGCCCCATCATTGGTGTCAGTGGGAGGAATAGTGCCCCATCATTGGTATCAGTGGGAGGAATAGTGCCCCATCATTGGTATCAGTGGGAGGAATAGTGTCCCATCATTGGTATCAGTGGGGGGAATAGTGCCCCATCATTGGTATCAGTGGGAGGAATAGTGCCCCATCATTGGCATTAGTGGCAGGAATAGTGCCCCATCATTGGTGTCAGTGGGGGGAATAGTGCCCCATCATTGGTATCAGTGGGGGGAATAGTGCCCCATCATTGGTGTCAGTGGGAGGAATAGTGCCCCATCATTGGTATCAGTGGGAGGAATAGTGCCCCATCATTGGTATCAGTGGGAGGAATAGTGTCCCATCATTGGTATTAGTGGGAGGAATAGTGCCCCATCATTGGTATCAGTGGGAGGAATAGTGTCCCATCATTGGTATTAGTGGGAGGAACAGTGCCCCATCATTAGTATCAGTGGGGGGAATAGTGCCCCATCATTGGTGTCAGTTGGAGGAATAGTGCCCCATCATTGGTGTCAGTGGGAGGAATAGTGCCCCATCATCGGTGTCAGTTGGAGGAATAGTGCCCCATCATTGGTGTCAGTGGAAGGAATAGTGCCCCATCATTGGTGTCAGTTGGAGGAATAGTGCCCCATCATTGGTGTCAGTGGGAGGAATAGTGTCCCAACATTGGTGTCAGTGGGAGGAATGGTGTCCCAGCATTGGTGTCAGTGGGGGGTGGAATAGTGCCCCATTATTGGTGTCAGTGGGGGGTGGAATAGTGCCCCATCATTGGTGTCAGTGGGGGGTGGAATAGTGCCCCATCATTGGTGTCAGTGGGGGGTGGAATAGTGCCCCATCATTGGTATCAGTGGGAGGAATAGTGCCCCATCATTGGTGTCAGTGGGGGGTGGAATAGTGCCCCATCATTGGTATCAGTGGGAGGAATAGTGCCCCATCATTGGTGTCAGTGGGGGGGGGGAATAGTGCCCCATCGTTGGTGTCAGTGGGAGGAATAGTGCCCCATCATTGGTATCAGTGACCCAATGATGGGGCACTATTCCTCCCACTGACACTTGCTGACCCTGTTCACGTATGGTGCTGCAGCACCATGTGGTTGCAGCAGCACCTCTACACTGAACACTTACCTGCTGGTCCTGCACTCGATTTTCGCGGGGCTGCTCGGCTCCGCCCCCTCGCCGGTGATTGGCCGCCTGTGTGCCTTTCCTGAGCTACAGTTCTGGCGGCCAATCACCGGTAAGGAGGCGGAGCGAACATCCAGTGGCCGAACTGAAGGAGCAGCCACGCTTCCTGGACCGGATCGTCGTGGGACCGGAGCCAGGTAAAAAAAAGCCTCTGCCCACCCCTGTACTTAGTGTCCCTTCCGTTGGAAGGAGGGGGGGGGGGGCGGTGGCGGCACCGCGCCGCCCCCCTAAAAAGTGTCAGTATGCCATATACTGGCGTATAAGACGACCCCCGACTTTTGAGAAGATTTTCAAGGGGTAAAAAGTCATCAACTCGGAAAATACGGTATGTAAAGCGTGGCGTAAATTGACGGGGCTATATAAGTACCTGAAATAAATAAATTCCTGAAGGGGAGGTGGCTACAGCATTCTATTTTACTCACGTAAAATGTGACGTCATTGACCTAATATGGCTGTGACCATAATAGGTCAATGATGTCATGAGGATCCCCGCCTTTTTGCGCATGTACAGCACGTCTCCGGAATGTCTTGGCTGCTGCTGATTGGCCAGGGAGCAACAGCGGCTACCTAGGTTTGCCGAACCCAAGCCCATCGCTAGTGTCTATACAGTTACTAGTGAAAACCATTTTGTTGTTCCTGCATGTTATTGGGTTCTTTTACTAAAGGTAAATAAGTTGTTCGCTTTGCAAGAATAGTTGCACCTTGCTGGGGAATTTCCCCCAGAGCTTTGAAATGATTGGATAGTGAAAGTCAGTAGAGCTTCACCTCATTCTCTAAGCTCCAGGAAAACTACCTTTGCAAATTGCATCTTTTCATGGCCACATGCAAACATGGCCGTATCAGGTCAATGATCTTACTTGCACATGATTTGTATGTTGGAACTCAGCAGATCTTCACCTCGTTCACTAAGCTCTGGGGAAAATTCCATTGCGAAGTGCAATTTCCTGGACAAAGAGAACAGCCTGCTGGCGTTTAGTGACCCAGCCTCTCTGAGTCTTTTTGTTTTTCTCATATTGATCTGAATTCAGCTGCTGACAAAAGGTCCAATTTTTCTTGCAGGACCATCCTCTCCTCCAGCTGACCTGGTGCTCCAATCGTTGTCACACTCATCAGTCCAGGTACACTGGCGCCCCCCTTTGGAGTCAAATGGAGTAATCATGCAGTATTTGATTCTGTACACTGCCAACAGAAGCCATCCTGATGATATGTGGACTCTTTTAACCAAGGAAGGTGAGAGTATGCTGGTGGGTGGGTTTTAGAGTGGACCTTCACCCATTAAAAAAAAAGAATTATTCTGTTCTGCCTCCTCCCTTTAACCCTTTCACTGCCAATATTTGTGGCTGTTTAGCAACCACACTAATTCCACTTTATGCTTTGAGTCACTGCACCTTTCAATTGGCCATCTTTGGGTTATTGCATCTTTCTATTGGTCATCTTTGGGTTATTGCATCTTTCAATTGGCCATCTTTGGGTTATTGCATCTTTCAATTGCTCATCTTTGGGTTACTGCATCTTTCAATTGCTCATCTTTGGGTTATTGCATCTTTCAATTGCTCATCTTTGGGTTATTGCATCTTTCAATTGCTCATCTTTGGGTTATTGCATCTTTCAATTGCTCATCTTTGGGTTATTGCATCTTTCAATTGCTCATCTTTGGGTTACTGCATCTTTCTATTGGTCATCTTTGGTCATCTTTGGGTAACTGCATCTTTCAGTTGGTCATCTTTGGTTTACTGAATCTTCCAATTGGTCATCTTTGGTCATCCTTGGGCTACTGCATTTTTCTATTGGCCATCTTTGGGTAACTGCATCTTTTAGTTGGTCATCTTTTGTTTACTGAATCTTCCAATTGGTCATCTTTGGTCTTCCTTGGGCTACTGCATTTTTCTATTGGCCATCTTTGGGTAACTGCATCTTTCAGTTGGTCATCTTTTGTTTACTGAATCTTCCAATTGGTCATCTTTGGTCTTCCTTGGGCTACTGCATTTTTCTATTGGTCATCTTTGGGTAACTTCATCTTTCAGTTTGTCGTCCTTGGTCATCTTTGGGTTACTGCATCTTTCAAATGGTCATGTTTGAAATACTGCATCTTTCAATTGGTCATCTTTGGTCATCTTTTGGTTACGGCAACTTCATTGGGTAATCTTTGGGTTACTGCATCTTTCAATTGGTCATCTTTGGGTTACTACATCACCCAATTGGTCATCTTTGGGTCGCTATATCTTTTGGTTGGTTATCTTTGGTCATCTTTGAGTTACTGCATCTTCCAATCTGTCATCTTTGGGTTACTGCATCTTTCTATTGGCCATCTTTGGTCAGATTTGGTTACTGCATCTTCCAGTTGGTTGGCTTGGTCATCTTTGTGTTACTGCATCTTCCAATTGGTCATCTTTGGTCATCATTGGGCTACTGCATTTTTCTATTGGTCATCTTTGGGTAACTGCATCTTTCAGTTCAAATACATAAAAGTGCAGCGCTTAAAGATATTTCAAAGTATAATGGTATAAAATTATGTTTATAAAATGGTGACAGTTCGTGATAAGGTGCTTGATACAGGAGTTGATGGTGACTTCAAACTTCAGTCGCGTGCCAATAAGTAGTAAAAATACGCACTCACCAGATGCGTATCTTTAAATATGCATATAATTAGTATGACCAGAGGTCCCCCTCTTAGAATGGGATGGATGAGTTGGGCCGTTTTAAAGGACTCTCCTCCCTCTGAGTGGTAGGCAGCTACGGAGACGTCTTCCTTGGTGTATGCAAATGGAATCCAGCCAGAGGCCTCCTTAATGGATGGGTGGATGCTTGTCAGCTAATATTGGAACAGCTCCCTCCTCCGGAATGGTGCCACATGTGATTCGGCTCTTATATCCTCTAGGATGGGCTCTAAAAGTGAACGTTAGCTCGCCAAGGAGCCAACCAAAAATCGGCCCATAGTGTAGTAGTTTAAAATGATTCAGTTTGTTAATCCACGTGGTATGAAGATAAAAGCAGTTAGATGTACAAAAAATGTTTTTATCTTCATACCACGTGGATTAATAAATTGAATCATTTTAAACTACTACACTATGGGACGTTTTTTGGTTGGCTCCTTGGCAAGCTAACGTTCACTTTTAGAGCCCATCCTAGAGGATATAAGAGCCGAATCACATGTGGCACCATTCCAGAGGAGGGAGCTGTTCCAATATTAGCTGACAAGCATCCACCCATCCATTAAGGAGGCCTCTGGCTGGATTTCATTCGCACACACCAAGGGAGACGTCTCTGTAGCTGCCTACCACCCAGAGGGAGGAGAGTCCTTTAAAACGGCCCAACTCATCCATCCCATCCTGAGAGGGGGACCTCTGGTCATACTAATTATATGCGTATTCAAAGATAGGCATCTGGTGAGTGCGTATTTTTACTATTTATTGGCACGCCACTGAAGATTGAAGTCACCATCAACTCCTGTATCAAGCACCTTATCACGAACTGTCACCATTTTATAAACATAATTTTATACCATTATACTTTGAAATACCTTTTAAGAGCTGCACAGTTATGTATTTGAGTTTTATGAGGTCTTTACTTGGTTACCTTTATGTGCATTAGCTGCTATATTACTGAGCGCTCACTGATTATATATTTATTGCATCTTTCAGTTGATCATCCTTAGTCATCTTTGGGTTACTGCATCTTTTAAATGGTCATCTTTGGTTTACTGCATCTTCATTGGGTAATCTTTGGGTTACTGCATCTTCATTGGGTAATCTTTGGATTACTACATCTTTCGATTGGTTATCTTTGGGTTACTGCATCTTCCAATTGGTCATCTTTGGGTTACTGCATCTTCCAATTGGTCATCTTTGGGTTACTGCATCTTCCAATTGGTCATCTTTGGGTTACTGCATCTTTCAAATGGTCATCTTTGGGTTACTGCATCTTCCAATTGGTCATCTTTGGGTTACTGCATCTTCCAGTTGGTCATCTTTGGGTTACTGCATCTTCATTGGGTAATCTTTGGGTTACTGCATCTTCCAATTGGTCATCTTTGGGTTACTGCATCTTTCAAATGGTCATCTTTGGGTTACTGCATCTTCCAATTGGTCTTCTTTGGGTTACTGCATCTTCATTGGGTAATCTTTGGGTTACTGCATCTTCCAATTGGTCATCTTTGGGTTACTGCATCTTCATTGAGTAATCTTTGGGTTACTGTATCTTCCAATTGGTCATCTTTGGGCTACTGCATCTTTCTATTGGTCATCTATCTTCATTTTTGGGTTACTGCATCTTCCAATTGGTCATCTATCTTCATCTTTGGGTTACTGCATCTTCCAATTGGTCATCTATCTTCATCTTTGGGTTACTGCATCTTTGAACTTTGTCTGTTGTGGTGGCAAAGGAATTATGTGTCAATTTTTAGAGCCTATGCTATGTGATTACAAGGGAGGTTGTGTTTTATTGTTCCAGGCAATGTATTCAGTACAGACGTTCAAGATTTACAAAGCGGGGCAAAATATTATTTCAAGATGGGTGCCAAGACAGCATCAGGCTGGGGGCCATACTCCAATGTGGTAGAGGTGGAGACACTGCCTCCGAGACTGCCAGGTGGGTAAATCTGTTCTCTCTCTTGTCTCTTTAGAAGCCTCATCTAACCAATCTGTTGTTACTTACAAGTGGAAACGCATGATGACTTGTTACATTCCTTGAAGTGGAACGTTCTACAAATTATATACAGTTGTAGCAGTCAGAGGATTTGTGATTTGCCCAGCCAGTCTTGTGGCTCACACACTTCTAGAGAATAAGGTCTCTCTGCTACTGACCTGTTTGGCAATACAGCTTCATGGGTTTGCTCGCTGCTCACTGTACAGAGGTATAATAAATAAATATAATAATAAATCAGCCCTACTGACTTCCGTGTACTATGGACTATGCCGGTATTGATGTCCGCTCATGAGTGACAGGGCTCGGTGCTCAGCCCGGTGGCGTCATCACGCTGCCCCTGGCGTAACGTGGAGGCAGAGTGCTTGGTAAACCGGCGAAGGAGAGCCCTTCACGATCCAGCCAGCCTTAAGTATCCAGAGAAGGGAGTCCCTTAAAGCAGGCTTCTACACCCGTCCATCCCTTTAAAGGGACCTCTGGCCAGCTGGATCCTGTTCCTACCCGTGAGTTCCTGACAAGCACCACCATACTCAGGAGGATTAGACCGGATTAGGATCTCATCCAATTTCTACTGTAAAGGGGACCTCTGATGTGTTATCGAATGCGTATTTACTTTACGCATCTGGTGAGTGCGTAATTCTACCACACGTTTTGGAGCACTATTTGCGGATTCCACAGCTTATTTGTGCCTAGACCTGCACAGACTGTCACTTTATTGGCATCCTCTCGAACATTATTATTGCATTATTGTAGTGCTGCACCTATTTTATTTATTATATGTTTCTGAAGGTTTTGTTACTAGTTACCTTTGGTGTCCCAGCTGCTTATTAGAGAGCGCTCGCTTTTCTCTACCATATTCACCATACAGAGGTGATGACCTTGATTCACTGTCCAGAGAGCATGGTGGAGGTGACATAGGAAGCTTCATTGCTGAACCAGGAAAAATAAATAGCCTATTCGAGAGTTACCTGTGTCACCTGTCTAGTTGTGAAGCGAAGAAAATGTATGAAAATTACAAAATTTCCTGTATAGAATTTCAAAACCATAAAAATATATAGGGGAGTATTTGTAAAATGCGTGCCTAGCTGTCCATCCATTAAAACTGCTTGAAAATCCATTCTGTATAAGGGCTCCATACACACGGGACGTTTGGAAAATTCTTCTGAACGATGGAAACCGACTGCTGGAAAACGTAGGTTAAAAAACATCGGTTTTGCATACCGCGTTTATGCGTGTTTGCGTTTTAGAAGCATTTTTTTTTTTTTTAAAGATAACATCAGGAGACCTTCCAAAATGCCCAGAATGCACTGAAAAAACAGTAAATATTTTCAGACATTTTGAGACAAATAGAGAGAGCAGAAGCAGAGAGAGCAGTATGTGTGGAGATGACTGGTCTTTTCTGGTTGTATTCACAATGGATCCCATCATGAGCATAATGCGGCGCGTTCTACCATTGTTTCCTTCATGCCAAACCTGGAACTGACTGCGCTGGTGTACCGGGTCCATTTGAATACATGGAAACAGGGGCGGACTGACAGCACATGGGGCCCCAGGGCAATAGGGGATCATGGGGCCCCTGTGTCCTTGCCCAAACTCAAAAAAGTCTATGAAAAATGTACCAGGGGCATCTCATGGGGCCCTCTACTGACCCCAGGCCCTCGAGCAGTGCCAGAGTTTCCAAATGGTCAGTCCGCCGCTGCATGGAAAACGCTGTGTATGCATTTCTGATGATGAAAAAAGGCTCTGGACATCATTTGTATATGGAACAATTAAAAAACGCTCCTAAACGCAAATGCTTACAAACGTGGTGAGCTGCGTTTACAAACATTTGGTGTTTGAAACGGCGGTAGAATCTACTCCTGAACGCAAGTTTGGTGCGTTCAAAAAAACGACTGTAAACTCAACTGCCTGTAAATGACTGTAAAGGACGATGTGTACATGGACACATAGGAGAACATCAGGGAGAGTTCAGGGGCTGCTGAAAAAAAAACGCAGAAAAGCTCCTGAACGTCAGTTTATCAGCTGCAGTGTACATGAGCCCTAAATGGAACAAAATCAAGTGGCTAGATTCCCTATAGAGCAGCGGTTCTCAACCTGGGGGTCGCGACCCCTTTGGGGGTCGAACGACCATTTCCCAGGGGTCGCCTAAGACCATCGGAAAACACATATTTCCGATGGTCTTAGGAACCGAGACACCGCTGCAGTCTCCGGCGATGTGTGGGCGGGATGATACGCTGCTGTCACCTGGCCACACCTCCGGGATCGCTCAGCAGCTCCGCCTCCTCGCCACTGATTGGCCACCGGAACTGTAGCTCAGGAGAGGCACACAGGCGGCCAATCACCGGCGAGGAGGTGGAGCTTGGAGAGGAGGAGCCGAGCGGCAGCGCGCGTACATCAAAGAAGACCGAGGGAGCTGCCGGAGCGAGTGAAGAGGAGAGCGGCCAGAGAAGGAAGACAGCTGACAGGTAAGTGAGAGAGCGAGCCCAGGCTGGAGCAGGGGTCAGCAAAGTAAGTATCATTGGTGTCAGTGGGAGGAATAGTGCCCCATCATTTGTGTCACTAATACCAATGATGGGGCACTATTCCTCCCCCCACTGACACCAACGATGGAGCACTATTCCTCCCCCCACTGACACCAACGATGGGGCACTATTCCTCCCCCCCACTGACACCAACGATGGGGCACTATTCCTCCCCCCACTGACACCAACGATGGGGCACTATTCCTCCCCCCACTGACACCAACGATGGGGCACTATTCCTCCCCCCACTGACACCAACGATGGGGCACTATTCCTCCCCCCACTGACACCAACGATGGGGCACTATTCCTCCCCTCCCCACACTGACACCAACGATGGGGCACTATTCCTCCCCTCCACCACACTGACATCAATGATGGGGCACTATTCCTCCCACTGACACCAATGATGTGGCACTATTCCCCCACTGACACCAGTGATGGGGCACTACTCCCCCCACTGACACCAGTGATGGGGCACTACTCCCCCCACTGACACCAGTGATGGGGCACTACTCCCCCCACTGACACCAGTGATGGGGCACTACTCCCCCACCACTGACACCAGTGATGGGGCACTATTCCCCCCACTGACACCAATGATGGGGCACTACTCCCCCCACTGACACCAATGATGGGGCACTACTACCCCCCCACTGACACCAGTGATGGGGGCACTACTCCCCCCACTGACACCAATGATGGGGCACTACTCCTCCCACTGACACCAATGATGGGGCACTACTACTCCTCCCACTGACACCAATGATGGGGCACTACTCCTCCCACTGACACCAATGATGGGGCACTACTCCTCCCACTGACACCACGATGGGGCACTATTCCTCCCACTGACACCAGTGATGGGGGCACTATTCATCCCACTGACATCAGATGGGGCACTATTCCTCCCACTGATACCAACGATGGGGCACTATTCATCCCACTGACACCAGTGATGGGGCACTATTCATCCCACTGACATCAGTGATGGGGCACTATTCATCCCACTGATACCAACGATGGGGCACTATGCATCCCACTGACACCAGTGATGGGGCACTATTCCTCCCACTGACACCAGTGATGGGGCACTATTCATCCCACTGACATCATGATGGGGCACTATTCCTCCCACTGATACCAATGATGGGGCACTATTCGTCCCACTGATACCAATGATGGGGCACTATTCCTCCCACTGATACCAATGATGGGGCACTATTCCTCCCACTGACACCAATGATGGGGCACTATTCCTCCCACTGATACCAATGATGGGGCACTATTCCTCCCACTGATACCAATGATGGGGCACTATACATCCCACTGATACCAATGATGGGGCACTATTCATCCCACTGACATCAGTGATGGGGCACTACTCCTTCCACTGACACCAATGACATGGCACTACTCCTCCCACTGCAAAATTACAGTTATGAAGTAGCAATGAAAATAATTTTATGGTTGGGGGTCACCACAACATGAGGAACTGTATTAAGGGGTCGCGGCATTAGAAAGGTTGAGAACCACTGCTATAGAGTGTGAATGTGAGAAATACCACCTTGTGACCACTAGATGATGCTGACTACCCTAGGAAATAGGTGTGCTCCTCAGCGCCATGTAGTGGCCATAATGTGGTATTTTTCCCCATTCACACACACATTTGAATTTCAGAGAATATAGCCAATGGCGGAGAACACATTTACATGAAGTTTTGATATATGAATAAGTATGCAATTGAAAAAAAAAATACATCCCTAAGTATTTGTCTGGAGTGTATTGGGGGGGCATTCCCTACTAGAGCTCCCTAATTCCTATGGCTCTCGCATCCATTAAAATGGTAATTGAGGACATCTGTAATATTTATTTAATTTATTAAAGGTACTTATATAGCGCCATCAATTTGCACAGCACTTTACGTATATATTGTACATTCACATCAGTCCCTAACCCTCAAGGGGTGTACAATCTAAGGTCCCTAACCCTCAAGGGGTGTACAATCTAAGGTCCCTAACCCTCAAGGGGCGTACAATCTAAGGTCCCTAACCCTCAAGGGGCGTACAATCTAAGGTCCCTAACCCTCAAGGGGTGTACAATCTAAGGCCCCTAACTCACATTCATATATACACATACTAGGGACAATTTAGACAGGAGACAATTAACCTACCAGCATGTCTTTGGAGTGTGGGAGGAAAGCAGAGTACCTGGAGGAAACCCACACAGGCACAGGGAGAACATGCAAACTCTAGGCAGGTGGTGCCGTGGTTGGGATTTGAACCAACGACCCGAGTACTGCCAGGTGGAAGTGCTAACCATTTAGCCACTGTGCTGCTATGAAGGGAACCCCATTGTTGGAGCAGGACACCTTCAGTACAGACTTGGGTTAGCAGGTCAGAATCAGAATCCTACAAAGTCACTATTGGAGAG